AGGGTTAGATTTCCTTCATAAGTTGCTAAAATAGAATAGCAAATGACAGATAATTTCACACTCTCAATGGGTGTTCATTTTCAGAAGTAAGCAAGTAAGAGAATAGGCTGTTTGGCGAAGAGTGGATTCCAGCTCTGTAAATCAGGTAAGTAGGAATCTCGCCTACAGTATGAATAGATTTTTAAAGAAAAAGTTACACATGTTATATATGCATGTTTATGCTTTAAGTATTGTATGCGATGTTATGTCATGCTGTATACACATAAACAGCGCACATGAATTATATGTGTTTGAGTTAATTTAATATTATGTATATTATGCTAGATCATACTGCATACACTTAAGCAGTGCACATGAAGTATATGTATTTGAGTACATTCTATGTTATAGTATGCTTTGCTATGTCATATTGCATACACCTTAATAAGTCAAGAGGAACTTATAAGAATAATTATCAGTTGAGTGCCGTACCAGCCTCCACAAGGGAGGTAACTCATGCTCCACAAGGGAGAAACAGAAAATAACAATAATGTCCTCCGACTCAAGGGAGGCATTCCAGTTATAATCACGGTGTCGTGGGGGACCTTGCAAACCCTCACGTTCCGATGATTGTGCGCAAGTGGTACGCGAGCACTCGGGCCCATCAGTAGGAAATATAAGATAAGATAATAAGACTATGATAAGACATCATAATTAAACATAATCAGCTCATACATATTTATTTATGTGTACTTACAGTTATTTTGTGAGATATAGTTCCTACTTGCTGAGCGAAAGCTCAATCAGATATGTTCATGTTGTAGGTAAGAAACCTATCAGCAATTCTTGAAGGGCAATGGCAAGCGGCAGACGAATGGTGGAGATGGGAATGTATACCGCTCACGCAGTTATCTTCCGCAGTAAGTTTAAGAAAAATCATGTATATGTATATATGATTTAAAGGTTTCAAGCATGTATGTTTAAAAGTATAGGTACATATGTATGTTAAGGAAACCGAGGTTGTAGCTAACAACCCTCGTTTTGAGTATTTAAGTTTTAGAATGTTGCAACAGAGCATGCAACAAATAAACAAATTTTAAACATGACGATTTAAATGATTGATTTTAAAAGGGCTTTAAGATGTACTTGAATTTAAGATTTCTCACGAAATCCGTTTTAAAGTCAAAATTAAATGGCCCGATTGAATTGGCTAGTTTTAGAAAGGCTTTTAAAGAGCATTTGAAATAAGAGTTCAAATGCTGCTCTGTTTGAAAGATATTTTTAGAACGTTTTATCTTAACTGAAATTAAGAAAAGCTTTAAGAAATTTAGTGATTCACTTATTTGAAATTATTGTTACAAATTATGAAAGTATTCTTTCTTATATTAAAAAAAAAAATGTTCCGCAAATTTTAAGAAACTCCAGTAAGTACAAGTTAAAGTTTAAGTTACAGTGGCGGCCTCATAGGAGGGTCGTCACACAATGTTATATTTTGGTATTGGGTATAAAAAATCTTCTCCAACGGTGACACTGAAAAATCTATTCTTGACGGATATAGGGCAATTATTGGGCAACCAACGGCTGATTTACTTCGATACAATTACATTTTTATCGATGGTTACTTTAAATTCGTTGGTAAAGATGAAACTTCTACCGACACCCCGGTTTGGCATCGGGAAATGTATGACTGACTTTTTCTAATGATCATTGCTGACGGTCAATCATTGTAAAGAAAAAAGTTTTTTCAACGATTTTTCTTACTCTTTATGACGCTTATTAGCGTCAGAAAAAGTCTTATTTTTTGTAGTGCGCATTAAAAGAAAAATCACTTTCAGAGGCGACAAGTATTTTAGAGACGAAAACTTATTTCATCATCATTCGTCTCTAAAGTCGCGTATCTGAAAGCTTTTAAATATCAATTGTTTTTGTCTCTAAAACATAATTTTAGAGGCAAACAATTTGTCTAAGAAATAGTAAAATATTGTCTAAAAAATATTAAATTTTAGACGAAAATCTAGTTATTAATTAGTAACAAAAGTAGACGAGTTACAGATTTATAGAGACCAACATTTGGTCTGTAAAAAGAAGTAAAGAGACAAAAATTTGCCGAATGTAGAAATATCTCTAGGCCGGCCAGTTTCTATTAAGGTCCACGCAGGCCGTGGGCCTGGCCGGCACAGTCTATGATTTTAGTGGGCCGTGCCACATCGATCTATATAAGAACACCTCTCGATTCAACCTACACCACTGATCAGGCTGGGTTGTGCCATGGGCTATGAACGGGTTGGCCCATTCTAACCCATCTACGAGTTAGGAGGGTAGGGCTATCTTGGCCCATCATGGGCTAGCCCATCATAGCCTATAATTTTATAAATTTTTTTAATTTTCGTTTTTGAATTTCTAAACAAGTTAACAAATATAAAAGTTTAAATAGTCAATAAAAATATAAAAAAATACATTTTATTTACGATTGCCTCATTAAAAATCTTTTTAAGAAAAACGCAAAATCTTAGTAAGAAAAAAAGAGTACAGTTAGAATAATTGTATATAAGATATTCATAAAATTAGTAAATATTAGGTTAAAATGACCTTCAATGGACTGTCCCAATAGATCTATATGGGCCGGGCTAAGTGGGCCTTACATGGGTTGGGATGGGCCGGCACGACACAGCCTTATGGGCTAAAAAATGCTAGCCCAACCTAGTCCACTATTATTAATGAGTGAGGTCGTGCCATGAATATTATTGGGTCGTGTTGGTCCAGCTTGAGCCGACCCACAGACCTCGGCTCATAGTTGCATCCCTAGAAATGCCATAATAAACGGCAATAGCTAATAATATGCTGCTAGTGATTGGCACTTGAAAAACTGAGCAATAATCGAAACGGATTGATTTAAGTCTGGAAATGATACAATAGATCATGATGATATATAGTCATCGAAATATGAGTGGGTCTTTTCCTTGAAAAAAAAATACTGACTTTGTTACTGCATTTTATATATCGTGCATGTGAGAAGATAAGAGAAACAATTAATAAAAAATAGATGCTTTACAGTTTACATAGATGGCAAAACTGTACACTGAAGGAAGCGTGTACATAGGTAAATCAATTAATCCCCTAATTTATGAATTGATATATATATATATATATATATATATATATATAAGCTTGAAGAAACTAAATTTCATTAAGGAACTTGCATGTATATATAGACATATCTACCGATGGACATTAAGTAATGCATTGCTTATTCATCCAGTTATTCCTCTCTATCTTGAGAATATGGACGAATATAATTTCCCTAATCAGATGAGTACTATTACATGTTTGCTCTTCATGTGTTGTAGTCTCATTTTTAAAGATTTTTAAAGATTTAAAGATATCTTATAAGATTCCGGACCGGGGCAGGCTGGGCGAACCCTAAACTTGTCAAGCGGTCGTAACCCTAACGTGTTTCCTGTGAATTATCTTGTGAGCAAACACCATTCCTCGTACAAAATCATCAGACGCATACTCAAGTAGACGAAAATTTGGTATTCCAATAGTGATAAAAAAAAGGTCTAAAATGACAAAAAAAAAATCAATTTTTCAAGACAATGAAGAGCTAAGTAAAACAGCCAACCAGCTAGAGAACTTTGAGAATTCAAACATAAGACTAAAGTATATCAACCTTGCAAAACTTCTCAATACAAAACTCCAACATACATGTAAAAAAAAAAAGGAAAAGAACAGTTTCTAAAAGACGCGTTGTGGCTTCCCCATTGTAGTCTTCAGGTACAAGCACCTCACCTGTTCCACAGGGATAAAAATCATATAGTATACAGAAAGAATCTTTGAAAAATAAAATCATATTGCAGCTGCTCAAAGCGTGAAAGAAAACCAAAGCGCCTAATGAATCTTGAGTATCACAAACCTATTATCTTCATTCAAATTGAAGACGCGTTAGTCCCAATATTAAGAACCTTGTTCCATTTTTTAAGCAAACTAGCACACAGATGACCTACGGACCACCTAGGTCAGTCACTACAATGTTTTGCAATGAGGGAAAAGGAAGGAAATGCAATACAAACATATTTGGTTTATGTATTCAGAATCATGATTCAAAACCATTCTCATTTTACGTGCATTTTTTGTGAGAGAAAACACTGTAGAGAACCATGACTCATGATTCAGAATCAGGGACGAATATAGGAAACGCATTGGTAAAGAGTTCGCATAAATGAAATGCTTTATGCACAACGCAAAGCAAGCCTAAGAAAAATGCTAGAAGTACACGTTTACTAAAAATAGAGGCTACAAACTAATAATAACTAAAGGGCATATCAGATTCAAGACACATAACGAAGCCACAAACATTAAAAAAGGGCCCTAAAGACGCTTTTTTTCTGAAAAAAAAAAAAAAAAAAAAAAGCCAAATAAAATCAACTTACGTTTTGCCAGTTCTTCTTCAACAGTGAAACAAGGAAATTAACGCTCAACTGCACGTTTTGGAAGATCTGTTTCTCCTCCATGGAGACATTTCCAACAGCAATTCCCATGCAAAGGACCTTCTTAAGCTGGAACTTAACCATGGCCTTTGTCTCATTCACTTTAGACTCCAAAGATTCTTGGTGAGTAACAAGGGTTGGAAATTTACCTAATTTCATAATGAAAGAAAGATAAAAAAGCATATAGCATAAGCAACAAAAAGCAACTTCATATTTCGTAAAAAACTTTGCAACAGAATTTTAGAACCTGAATAATAACCAAAATGAAAAAACAATGCAAATTCAGAAGAAAACATTGAGCCAAGAGAGTGTTGGCAAGTGATTTATATTTAAACAAAGAAAATGCTAATTTCACGCTTCCACGACCAGTGCCTCAATATGGCACGAGAACAAGAATCAACTGTTGTAAGCTGTAATAGAAACTCTCATCTAAAGGAAAGCAAAAAAAGAGGATGTTACATAAAATAACACGTGCCAACGAAATAATTTCAACAGCTTCTTTGGGATTAGCAGGGCAAAATAGTTTGATACACCAACCTGCCTTGTTGAGACCAGGGCCCAAAAGACGAGGGATCTGCTTAATCACGGCTTCTGATGCTAAAAAGGCATGATATTTCTTTGCTAGTTTCTTAACCAATTTCTTGTTCTTGTTCAACTTCTTCAACCCTTCAACATCCATATAGTCCAAACCTATTTTCTCTGCCTGAAGCATTAAATAAACAAAAAAGAATTAATAGGTGGAGGAACAAGAAAATTCTGAAATCACCAATAACGTTACAAATAGCTGATAGATTCCATAACAAAAATAGCAAAGAACAAATCAAAAGAAATTTCATCATCAACTCACAATGTTGGATTAGTGTCATCAAGAATGTTATGTGGGAAAATGTGATGGACACCTGGACCAACGGCGCCACGACACGTGGCTATACTTGCTTTCCGCCGAGCACTCAACCCTCGACGCTTCGTTTCCCTCAAGATCAGCTATAGAGCCCGAAGATGAAGTCCATGATTAGGGCGACGACCCCATGAGGCGTCGACTGTTGACTCCGCCTGAGTTAACACGACAAGATCCCTCGACTGCAGAAGAGATCGCTAGAAGGGGCGAGAAAGGTTAAACAAGCACTGACGACGAGGGGAACGTCCCTTTTAGGCATGATGGGTTACGTGCAAAGATAAGAGAAGTCTGACAGCATTAATTGCAAGTTTACAAACCGCCCCCCCAGGGGACAGAAAAACATTACGGAGAGTCACAGAGCCGTAATAGAAGACTAATTAGTTGAGTGAACAGTACTAATTAGTGGGCTATGTCTGGGCCTAGAGAGGGAGAGCACTTGAGTGTTCCTACCTACGAGGAAAACCCACCCAGTGAAGGAAGCCCGAATATAAAAGAAGAAGGACCCCAATAGGGAAGGCCCCAGAAATTCCAGAGGAAAAAGAACGAGAGAGAGAGATAGCATTTATTGTAAACTATAATCTCCACAAAAGAAATATAATATATACAGTGGATGTAGCTCTAATTTTATAGAGTGAACCACTATAAAATTCTTCTTGTTCATTTATATACAGTTCATTCAAACACAAAAATACTTAAAGCAAACTAGAATCCACACTTTCATTAAACCCACAAGCCGGTAATCTAAAGGGTAACCCCAAGGTAATCCGGCGAGTTTATTGTTGACGAAATCCAACCGTCAACAAAGAACATAATAAAATTTTTAAAAGAGTAATTATTTTACCTCCTCGACGTGCTGAGCATCTCCAAGCATGCAAACCTTCATCTTAGGACGAGGGATGTGTGGCAATTTCACAGAGCCACTGAAACGCTTGTCCTTTTGGGGATCGTAGTTTTTCAGTCCAATTTGGAGTTCGATTGTCTCGGTGAAGTTGCGTTTTTTCTCATTTGATTCTCTCGTTATGGTAGAGATAGCCTCTCTGAGAACATCACTCTGGAGCTTACTGTAGCAATAACAGTAACAATGAATAATCCAGCACATGACATACCAAACAAAAAAACAAGGGGACACTTTGATAAATAAAAAGGTGCAGCACAATAGTCAAATCAATAATAATAATTAAAAAAAATTACTGCATCACGGAGCTTTGAGATATTATATTAATGTTATCAAGAAGCTTGGAGATATTTTCGTTATGTAATTATTAATATGGTTAATTGCGCCACTATTTCAAGAAGCTTTGAGATGTGACTTCTAGACGTAAATTTCAATGTATGGAAATGTTTCTGAGAACTATTTTTTTCAATAATGTTTCTTTGAATTCCATAAATCACTACCCTGGAATTTGGGCAGTGGGAAAATAAATCAAAACGGCGTAATATAAAACAAGTGCCAATATTAAGCAAAATACAGACAGGCAGAATCAATGAAAAGCAAGCGGGTTCGGTAAAAATAATACATAGATAAATAATAATAATAAAAAAACAAAAGCAACAATAAGTTAAAGTGAAAATGAAAATGAAGGAAAATACAGAATTTCACATACCTCATGTTTGAAATTTATCCCTTTACTACAGAAATGCCTCCTGCAAAGTCGAAACAAAAAATAAAATCAAATCAATACACCATCAAACAATCTGTCATATCACAATAAAATGCAAAAATAAAATTTTATCCAAATCCTCAAACTGAGAAATAATTGAAGTGTCCTTCCGCCGCCAAAATTCTAACTAACAAAAATCGGATATAAAACAACACAGTTCCGCGTAATGAAGACAGCACGCAGATCACCAAGTCAGCTTCTATCCATACTGTTTCCGACATTTTCTCGGGAAACAAACACAGAACCAAAGATCTATAAACTGATAGAACAGATTCATAATCCAGTTACAAAACGTAGAAATTGATGAAAACAAGCTAGGAATGACAAAAGAAATGGTGAATGATAAGGTGAATACAAGAAAGTGAAAGTGCATACGCACCAGAAACTGAAAGATAGGGCTGTTCATGGGTTGAGTTGGTGCGGGGTAGTGTTTTTCTTCCCCCGCCCCGAAATATGCGGGTTGCACATATTTGGCCCCAACGATGTTAGAAAAATTTTACAAGCCAATGATGTTTGGTTTGGGTGGTCGGGTTCATGCTGCCAAACATAAATATATCTAAACAACAGAAATTTTGAAAATTAACTTTTAACGTTCAAAGTTCATCATCAAATAAAAATAATGCTAATCAGTCTATCATCAAACAATTGTCAAGTCAAAGTTCAATCCAACATTAAACGTGAAGCAAAGTAGTCCATCGAGCATCAAATATAAAACAAACATAAAGCAAACATAAATTTAATCAAAATTCAAATCCATCCAAATTCCAAAGCAAGCACTGCAACAGCAGCTATCAAGCACTGCAACGTCAGCTATCATTATCAGTCCACACTCATATGGTCAGACATATTGCTTTCGAAGTAATTTCTAGCTTCAATCACACCAAATTCTTTTGAGAAAAGTGAAAGACAAAACTATACGTGACGTTTAATATGTTAAATTATTTCTCTAACCAAACCTTATCCGTACAACTCTATCCACATTTCATGATGTTTCTAATGAAACACCTTTCCTTCTTGATCCATATATTATATTATACATATTCACAAAAATGTAACCCTCCAACAAATTAAAGTAAGTCGATTGCTTTTCAAGCCATTCCTGAGTTTTCAACCATTTCCGAAAACTGAAAAATAGAAAGTCAATCATGGCTATAAGACTTCCATACGTTCTCAATGCTAAAACAGATTCTACACCAGTCGAGTTTTTTTTTCCAAACCAGTTTATAATTTTAAAAATCTGGATCCATCTAATTGAAAAGCCTTCAAAACGACATCAAGTAGTTCTTTTGCTGGGAAAACGATATAAATGAGTTGAAATTTATAGAATTAATGTACACAGAGGAAGCGTCAAGCTAGACAAATAAATACCAAAATATGTGCACAGAGTAGTGAGGAGAGAGAGACCTAGAGGTGAGAGACGGAGAGAGCACAGAGCAGTGAGGAGAGGCCGAGAGGCGAGAGAGCACCGGAGAAAGTCGGCAAGACGGCGGCCGAGAGGACTGAGCACTGAGGAGAGAGTTGTGAGGGCCTGAAGGGAGAGGCGGCCGAGAGGTGTGGAATCAGGGAAGATGGTTCTGAGGGAGTGAGGGTGAGGGAAGATGGTTCACGGTTGTGGATGGATCCTAATGCCACCCTAGGATAAACTAAGGTTTTCGAGCGGCTGAAGCAGCTTTCATAATCCTTATAAGAAGTCTTTTTTTTTTTCTCTTCCTTTGTCCTTCCAAAAAACCATTTTTAGCCTTACACATATTTATTCTTTCCCGAGCCAAATCTCGAGAGAAAGAGAGAAATAGGTAAAGACTTGAGATGAATTAAAATTAATAGGTTAATAGTTTATATAAGTTAATAAATAGGTCAAATTATTGTTTTTGTTTATAACTTGTCTGGTTATGAACCATAACTTGACAAGTTATTGTCCATAATTCACAGTTTTTGTCCATAACTTGTCTGACTATGAACGATAACTTGACAAGTTTGTCCATAACTTATCTGGTTATGAACCATAACTTAACAAGTTATAGCCTATTAATTTCTATAACTAAAAATTGGCCTATATACATTCTTAAGCTTTTCATATTGGCCTCTTTTCTACTATTTTCTCCAAATTTTTTCGGCTTGTTTATCTTATTTTAGGCCTTCAGAAATAGAGATGCAATAATGGGTCGGGGCCGTGAGCCGCCCAGGCCCATCCTAACACAGTGACGGGCTGGGCTAGCACGGCCCGTCACTATTTAAGACACGGCCAAGCCCATAAATATTGGTGGGTTGGGCTGGGCCAACATATATCGGCCCATGGGCCAGGCCGGCACAACCCATGAAAAATCATGGGCCAAGCCGGGTTGGGCCGGCCCATCTAGGCCCATGATGGGCTAGCCCCACCCGGCCCGTATAGGCCAATAATGGGCCGGCCCAGCCCAACTTATCTAGGCCCATAATATTTTCGTGTTTTTTTTCTTTTTTTTATTAATTTTATAAACATCTTATGTATAATTATCCTGATTGTACTCTTTTTTTTTACTAAGGTTTTGTCACACTGGGTTTTCCTTAGAAATGTTTTTATTTAATGAGGTAATCATAAATAAAATATCCCTTTTCATTTTTCCATTGACTATTCAAACTTATATATTTGTTAACTTGTTTAAAAATTCAAAAATAAAAAGTAAAAATAAAAAAAATGGAAAATTGCATGCTTAGATGGGTTGACCCATCTAAACCCATGATGGGCCATGAGTGGACCAGGTCATTCAAGGCCCATCTTGGCCCGTGGCACGGCCCAACCTGGCCCACGTAAAATTGGCCCGTGGTGTGGGCTGGGCTGAGGTCATTCTTATACAGGTCGGCCTGGCCCGGCCCACGAAATTCGTGGGCTGGACAGGCCAGGTCCGCGGCCCGTGTGGGCCTAAAGATAACGGGTCGGGCCGGGCCAGGCGGCCCATTCTTGCATCTCTATTCAGAAAGAGCTAAAACGGGCTTCTAAGAGCCTATTTGGTTAATACGTTCACACTACGATTTAAATCAGTAATTTTAATTAGAGAAATCTTTGACAAATATTTTGTAAAAGTAAAATATTGTAACAACATCAAAACCATAGATTTAGACTCATAAAAAAATTATAAAACAAACATATCCTAAATTAGCTGAAGAAAGAGTGGTTATATTTGTGAAAAAAGTAAGAAGACTGTAGTAAATAGGATTTATGAAACTAAATTTAGAAAGAGAAAATTGTTAAACTTATTTTTAGAGTGCATGAGTCTGAATTTTTACTCCTTAATCTTAATCAATACCCTCTTAATAAAAAATGATAATAATTAAGAGTAATAGGTAAAAATTCAGACTTATGTATTATGGGGGTATTTGTATCCTTTTCCCTTAAATAAGTAGCAGATTTTAAAACTATTTGAAGTAAATAGCATGTTTTGTTTACGTCCAGTGAAAAAAAATTTACATGGTAAAAAAAATTAAAGTTATTTCTAATGTGTAAAAGAACTAAAAATGATAAAATTTTTGTGTCAATTTCGGGTCACCGATCAATTTCATTTCATGGGTCACTTTCGTGTTGCGTAGTGTCAACTCGTAAAATGGTCGTGCCGTGTTTGTGTTGCACTTTTAAAAAAATTCCGTCTCATGATTCGTGTTCAGATTGACTACAAATTTAAGAAACAAAGATCAAAATATAACACGAACACGACACATGAGACAAATTGCCACCCCTATTTACAATACTTACTAGTCAAAAAAAATGAGGAAGAAAAAATAAAGGATAGAAAAATAGTAATAATGGATATGTTATCATTAGTGACTACATAATAATGTATTAGTATTTTTTTTTAGGACAAAAGAAACGAAACTAAAAAGAAGATAAAATTTCAAGACAAAAACATTAATGCTATGTTTGGTAGGATGGATAGAAAAGAGGAAGGAATGAGAAGTAAAATACTTAGGTGAAGAATGTAAAATAGTTTTCTCTCATGTTGTTTGGTAAAAGAGAAAGAAAGTGAAAATAAGATGTCAAATTTAAGACATTTTACTATGATATCCCAATATAAATAAAAATATGATGAATGGTAAAGGTTAAAATTATTATTTTACACCTCATTTGTTTGTCAAACTTTTTTTCTCATATTTTCTTCCCAAAGTTGAAAGGATTAAAAATTATTGGGCTCCATGGATTTTTATTTTCCTTCATTCATCATTTCCTCTCTACCAAACAACCTGAAATTCCATTTTCCTCTAAAAAATTATTCATCTATTTTCTTTTCTCTCTCTTTTCCATCATACCCAACACACTGTAAAAATAGTAAAAAAAATAATTAAATTGAAGGAATAAATAAGCTTTAGGGTAAAAAGAAAAATAATAAAAGAAAGGACTTGAAAATGGGGGCAAAAAACAAAAGGCAAACGTTAGGAAAAAAAAAGAGTCCCACGAGAAAAATAAAATAACTAAACCAAACTTTAAATAGTGTTTTTGTGTCTAGATGAATAGTAAAAGCACTCTCATTTCCATTATAATTATAGAAAAGTATCTTCATATTTATTTTTAAATATCGAGCATTATGAGTAACCAAACTTTAAATAGTCTTTACTTTGGTCTCTCTTACTTCTACTAGTTGAAGAACACGTTCTATCCACGTGAGGAATAATCGTGTATTAAGTTTTAGTTACTATGTTATTATTAATAGTCTATAGCCCTAACCTATCATCCCACATGAGTCACTTGTGGACTACATTTGAACTATTAGCAGCGAACCACTTGGTATTAAACAAAAAAAGTGCAAGTTTGGGCAGACTAGCATCGATTGCTTGAGCCATATCATCTCGAGCGAGAGGGTAGCTGCTGACCCCAGTAAAATTGCTCATGTCATGGACTGGCCAATCCCTCAAAACATTAAGGAGCTTCTGAGATTCCTTGGCCTGACCAGTTACTATCGCTGGTTCGTCAAAGGGTATGGCGCGTTGGCTGCCCCACTTACTTAGCTGCTTAAAAAAGAGTCTTTTGGGTGGAACTCCGTAGCACAAGCGGCTTTTGAGAGTTTAAAAATGGCCATGACCACCCTGCCCGTATTAACCCTCCCAGATTTTAGCACTCCCTTTGAGCTGGAAATGAATGCATCAGGCTTTGGTGTTGGAGCAATCCTCATGCAAGGGGGCCGACCAATGGCATTTTTTAGCCAAGCATTGTCAAAATGGGCCCAAGCTCGTTCGGTTTATGAAAGGGAACTTATGGCTATTGTTTTGGCAGTAACAAAGTGGAGCCACTACCTTATCGGGAGACACTTTATCATCAAAACATACCAAAAAAGTTTAAAATATCTCCTGGAGTAACAACTTATTGAGGGGGAACACCTGAATTGTTGGGAATGGTGTCCTAGAAGCATGAGATGTAATAGGATATTTATTATTTATTTAATAAAAGAGTTTATTCATTATTTTATGTGCATATATTTATGAATATTTTATGAATATCAATGAAAATTTCATGGTTATTTATGTAACCTTAAACATTGTAAATAAGTGTTATATACGAGAGGATAATGTTTAAGGATAATAATCAAAAAGTAATGTTCATAATGAATTTAATTAAAGTTTGGAATCTTTAATTAAAACATTATTAATACATGTCATTCCCATTTAGAATGGAACGGTGTTATCCGCACTGTTAATATGGTGAGATATTGAATGAGTGTTTTTCGCATAATGAGATTATGTGGAACAAGGACACAGACACAATATGAATTTCTAATAATTCTGTTAAGTATAGAAATTCTAATTGAGTCTATCGATGGTCATATATAGGATGGTCTTAATCCCGAGTTCTTAACAGACTCATATTTATGGATTTGTGTCTTTTGATTTACTCGGTACGGATTCTGAGATCCTGAATCCTATTCCTTGTATTTTGGAGACATGATGAAGTAGGTAGCCGGGAATGTTATTACATGAGATGGAATCCATTCCTTCTTAAGAAAGAAGTAGATAAATAATTCTCTTGAGGGTTGATTCGGTACTTGGACCAATA